GAACAGTTGCTCGACTCAACGTTAAACACACAATAAAATAAATTATTCTATTAGGTTAAATTCCGAAATCACAAGGAAAAAGGAAAAAACAAACAGAATAATCACAACACAAAAATTTGCACAAAGGCGGCAGCCATGTTGTGTCAATTATCGGAAGTACTAAGTACCAAGTTCGTTTTGTAGTGTTGGTACCTCAACGTTTTTCTGAATGTTGGTACACTGAATGTTACGAACTCCATACAAAATAATGTTTGTTCTAAGTTTCACAAGACTGGGCTTGACAATAAATAAATAAGATGTCAGTGACCTGACATGTCAAATTGAGTACGAGTCTGTTATCTATGACTATGACCTATGACCTAGACGAATTTTTTTTGCTTTTCGATGTCAAAGTGTCCTAAAATATTTTTGAATGCAAAATTTATCTAATAGGTACCGAACAATGCTTTCTTCTTCGTATTTGTGCGTTACATAAATATTTTTATTTGTAATATTATCTGACATTATTGTAGGTACATCAAACCAAAGTCTTAAAGCAAGTCGTTATTATTTTAGAATTGAAGATAAGAAAATAGATAATAAAGGATTTACTAGGCTAGATAATGGTGCGTCCACATCTGGTGAATATGTAGCTAACTTGTGAGTTGCGCTGACGCGCTGCGAAGAATGAATCACTGAAGACTGGAAAGTTGTTTGTTTCTTTGATAGCGCTGATTGCCAGAACTAGGCACGGGTTCGAATTTGGTATCGATATCGTAAGATACAGGAAACAAAATTCCAAGTTTGACACATTTTTAAAATGTTTCCAAAAAGTATGTATTATATAGCCTGCGATATATTAAGTTACGGTTACTTGTGTAACCATTTTGTATAATATCTGCCTTCCCTACTCCACCTAGAGAATGGGATCTAGGTACTACGTCGTATAATTTTCTTATTTGGATAAGTATTACCCAAGATCATTTTCTTTAGTTAAAAAATAAATCAATAGATCTTGAAAAAACATACCTTATGTAATCTGCAAACAACGGCCAAATTTTCAAGTTATTATTATCTAGGCAACTAAAATTAAATGCGACTTCATTTAAACAGTTAAATATTATAAAGTTAAACTTGATAATATTTTCCTTTAGTTATCTCGACACTGTTCACTATGTGGCGGTTAAATGAACACTGAGTATTAATAGTGTTCGTACACTACAATTTATAATAATAATAATGTGTTTGTAATCGTGTTTGGTCACTGTAAACAGTTTATCGTACATTTGTGTGGCATTAAGTAACTAATGTTTTACAATGGATAGCTACGCTGTTGTTTCGAGGTCGGGGACTTCCTGAACAGTTTCATGATAAAACTTTAAACTTTCAGATTGTGGGAAGAAGAAGCGTTTTCGCAATATAGCACCTACAGCCACGGCTATTTATTTTTTCCATATATTTATTTCAAATAATCTATAAATTAAATTTTTAAATACCAGCTTCTTAACAAAAACAATAAATATATAGGTATAAAAAATTCATGCGTCATTGGTCGACTGGTCGCAAGTGCGACTGCTAGGACTTGAACCGATTCCCGGGTCGGGTATCAAACGCGAACCAAAGAAAAAATGGGATTTTATAAATCCTCAGTAGTAGCACGGAGTCTTGATTCGTGTCCGGTATATAGCAATACGCTCACCCTCTATTAAATGGGACTCATAACATAAATAGTGAAAAGTGGGTGTTACATTGTACAGTGGCATTAAAGTGCCGTAATGTAAACCTCTACCTGCCCTCGAGGATAAAAGGCGTGATGTTATGTATAAAAAATAGTAGCTGACCAGTAGCAGGAGCATGGTCCAAGCTACGGGTGGTGGTTAGGGCTCTATACGTGCCGTTTCTAGGAGAAATGCCTTCTGTATCAGGCCCTTGATCCATCTGCCTAAGGCCAGCCTCCTAAGTTGGATGTCGAGACTTTTTGGGATTAACCAATTGGCCGACACGACTATCGGCATAATGATAGCCGGATCCACACTCCACATGGCGACAACCTCGTAAGCTAAGTCTAGATAATGTAGGTACCTATTTGTTTATCTTTCTCAGCTTTTACGAAGATCTCGTTATGGGGAATGGTGACATCGACTATCATCGTGCGTCGCACTTGTCGGTGTATCACCACCATGTCAGGTTTATTGTCTACAATAGTCCTGTCAGTGATGATAGATTAACTAGTAAAAATCTTTATATATGTAATTCTTCTGTGAGTGTGTATGTCACTAAACTTCTCTCAAACGACTGGACCGATTTTGATGATTTTTTTGTGTGTGTTCAAGGGGATCTGGGAATGGTTTAGATTCACAAATCAGCCCGGCAGATGGCGCTGCAGTCGATGTTTAGGTTATTTATCCTAAACAGCTGAACTAATTTGAATGAATCTTTTGTTTATACATGCAAGTGGATATGCAGGACAACGTCTGTTGGGTCCGCTAGTATTTATATAAAATTTTAATCTACACTACGATTACGGATTACCTCACGTATATACTCCATATGTAAAAATATGCAAATCAGAACATACATACATCAAACAAAGAGTCGTTCCGCGCAGGAATCGAACCTGCGACATTTTACGCAGCAGCCGGTTGCCCAGCTACTCCGCCAGTCATGTGTGTGCTTCGTAACATTTAGACAAAGAATATTCCAAGAGAGCAGGGCATTTTCCAACCATAGGTATAAAACAAAGTCGGTATCCGCCGTTCTGTCTGTCCCTATGTATGCTTAGATCTTTGAAACTACGCAACTGATTTTGATGCGGTTGTTTTTAATAGATAGAGTGATTCTTAAGGAAGGTTTATAAGTATAATACATGCATAAAGCACCCGTGCGAAGCCGGGACGGGCGCTAGTAGTAAATAAAACAAAATATTTGAATTTTGCATAAAATTCTAATTCTATTTACATTTACGACTTACATACAAATATTTCGTTGAGATCGACGTTTCAATACTGATTTCAGTAATAAGTAAACAATAGAATAGTACCTAGGTCATGAAACTACATAAGAAATAATAGCAGTATATATAGACTAGGTAGACTAGAAAGGTCTAATTTTAGACCTAATGGTGCGTCCAGATCTGGTGAATGCGCCGCTCCAGAGTCGTGAGCAAATCGCAAACTACACGCGCCTTCGTAAAGTGTGGACGCACCACAAGTATTATTATTTTACAATCTAAGTGTAATATTTATGTTAAATCTTACTTTTTATTTACAATGTTAATACTATGTCAGATAAATGTATTTAGCTTAGAAAAAGACAATTCAATTTCATATCTAATCACTGATATGTATAAAATCGAAGCAATTATAATTATGTTGCATGGGTTGTTAAATGCAAAAATTAATAAAATTGTACACACGGCCACACATCAATCTATACAAAACCAGTTTATCCTGGTGTCGCGTCGCATTATCTTTCCGCACATTAAATGTTCAGTTTATACTGGTTATGTAAAGCTTGATGTGTAGCTGTGTGTATAAGAACAGACTAAGTACTACAAAACAGTCAACTTTAAAGTACAAACAAATGTTTGATAAAGTTATTTGTTTTGTAATAATACATCAAACAATAATATATTACTCCTTTGTTTGTGATTTATTAAAATCTAATTATTTCCAAGTAAACTTTTCATGGGATCCTTAAATATATACTTAATATAACTAACTTAATATTTAAAACTAGTACCTACTAGTATAGTATTTGTTAACAGTCTAAACACTGCATTGGTCACCAAAGACCAACCATTAGCATAGGATATGCATTCAACGGTCTTTGTCTGCAGTTTTGACTTAATTATTTATATTGTATCCTTCATTTTTATCCACCTCCTCGACGGGAAGTGGATGACATTGCTATTGAGTATCAACTTTAAAGTTTGGGTAGTGACATGTTCCGTTTATAATAATTTCACTGATTCCCGTGGTGGGTGGTGTGTGCGATGCTGAGAGAGGCTCAATATGTGCAGCAGTAGTCATAACTGGAGTGGAATATAACTTGCTACTATGTATTGTAGTCTGATGAGGCTGCGTAGTATTCGTAAACACAGTACAAATTGGTTGTTCAGTACGTGGTTCACCGATCATTCCCATTTTCACTTCAAATATAACATCCTGGATCTTTTTCTTCGCAACCAGTAGATTCTTCTCCCCTTTAAGAGACCTCAGCTCATTGGCAATATATTCTCCAAATACGGAGAATTCGTCTCTTGTCCTTGAAGGGTAGACTATATCAGGTCTAGCTGCAGGTGTATGTGACTCTGTTCTTGAGATCTTGTGTGGCGGAGACAGGTTCGATAGCTTACACTCAGTGCTTGCATTGTCTGAATGTGGGGATAAAACACCTATTTCTGTGTTGTTGTCCTCCTGAAATGTTACAAAAATATATTATAATATGTACACTGGCACATTTTCTACTCTTAAACTGCAGGTTTAAAGATTGGTGACAGTTTGTTCTTTCTTACTGTTCAAATAAATTATCATAAAAAATTACTAGAGGTACTAATTAGAACCTTTGTCATCCGGAATTAATGATCATTAGACTATGTATTAGGAATAATTTGTAGGATATTAATTACTATTTCACACAGTGATACTGACCGACAGTAGAATCTTGTACGGCTTCCTGGAGTCTTTCAAGAAGTGTAGATATTCGAAGGCGTACCAGTTGCTGACATATCTATCATTAGGTTCTTCAGCAAACGCTCGCGCTTCCCGCGCCGACTCCCGGTTGTATTGTGTACGAAGGTGTTGTATTTTCTTCGTAATGTCTAACACAGAAATTCCTAACAATTCTGATATCAAACGCAACTCCTCTCGTCGCTTTTGTTTGTCCCTCCGCGTTTCACATAAAGATGGATTCCACAAGCTCGCGTTCACTTGTAACAACTCAATCAACTTTAATGTTTTATCTTTCGACCACTCCATCGCCCGATTTGTATAAGCATGCCCGAATTATAACACAAATACTATACTCGGAATTTTAATTCGATTCCAGATTTGACAATTTCAGTGTTGCAACGTTATGACAAGTACTAAATAGTGACGTTGCGAAATTATTCGATATGGAAATGGATTATTTCTGGATCGATTCTTCTCGTTTATAAGTTTACTCCCGTAAACTAAGTACATCAGGAAATTAAATATTTCTGAACCGATATTTAAGTTTTGACGATTAATTAACGATATAAGACCTTTCTTTTATAATTGTGTGTGAAATAAATAAAAAATGTAATCATGAAGGAACATGACAAATAAAACAGATAGATGTATTATGGTAATTAGTTATTTTATAAATTGTCGCCGTCATCGCTATCGCTATCCTGTCACTTTCTGTAACATATATTATAAAACACACACACTGATTGTTTCTCGATTTTTGTGTTCATCACTACACTATTATATGTGGTATCATTATTTCACAAAATGACAGTAGCTATTGTCAAATCTGGAATCTAATTAAAATTCTGACTATAGACCGGGTTTGCGACCGATCGTTAGATAATTCGCTAAACTGTTCCCGATGGTCAGACGCGATCCGCGCTTTTCAAGTTTTCAACAAAACAAAACAAACGTCAATACTTATGTCAAAAAATGCACAATCTGTAGCATGAAGGGAATGTTTGACATTTTGAGCATGGCTGTTGGTATATCTGTCTCTTTTACACTTCAGTCGTCACATCACCCTATCCTTATCTGACAAAAACAGCAAATGTTACTATAGTTTTATTTTCACCTTGCTATAGGACTAGGGTTGCCACCTTTTTTTTTGGTATTTAAAGTACATTGACGATTAAAGATAAGAAAAAAAGTACATAGTACAAAAATAAAGTACAATTTATTCTTTTTTACTATTACATTTAAAAATATATTTTTAATGCTTTTTGCAGTTTGTATTAAATTCGTATCTTTACTAAACAATTGCATCTTTACCAGAAATTGTCTAAGTGGCGCTAGCGAGTGGCGAAATCATCATATCGATACGATAAGTTTACCGAAAAAAACTTACGACATTAATAGAAATGAAGTTTGCAAAAATAAAGTATTTTCGTGTACTTTATTATTCTTATAAAGTATAGAGTACAATTACCTTAAATAACGTACAATACTTTATTATAAAGTACGGGTGGCAACCCTATATAGGACCGGTATTGTTATTTATTTGTGCTTTCGTTGGGGAGATGGGGACATAATTATGCAGAGTAAAATATATCATTAGATACATTAAAAATATCTTTTATTGTTTTTCATTGTGCAGAATTGTTGAATTTTACTTATGGTAGTTTAGTACTATTTCTATATTTTACATATCGATTGCCGCACAAGTGGTTGCTGGTTCGATTCCCGGATAGCAGAGGCACGGATCTGAAATTGTGTCTGGTGCATTTCTGTATGTATATTGACTCGTTTTTTATTAGGTAACTTGCCATGCAAGATTATGATTGTGTGTAGGTAGGTGTTATAGTTATTTTCGAGAAATTCTCAGTCACAGCCTAGTTTTCTGTTGAAAAGAAGGTTAGGTAATCTAGAAAATAAAAGATTACATCTAATTCATTCTCATTTATTTACAGGCTATTTTATGTGAAAGACTATCACATTATAAAAACAAGTTTTCTAAAATTATATTTACAATATTTACAAATACCACTTCCACATACAAAATGCATTAATTAAAATATACATTAACTCAAATAGGAGACTACATCCATCTTTTCACGACAATAATAATAATATTTAAATTATTAAAGGAACCAAAATAACAATAAAAGGAACTCCTCATACGGAATTGTGTGGTCTTAAATTATTAAAATAACTTAATAGCACAGAACCATAAACAAATGTATGGAAAAAACATTATTTTTTTCAAAGTTCGTTCTAATACTATGTATAACAAATGAAGGTAGAGTAAACTATGTTATTTGGTACACAGACAAGAAAATAAAGAGTGAATAAGAATAAGTCCAGCAGCTATATTTAATTGTATGAAGCCAAATCTTTTGTTACCATTCATCGGCTCTGCAATCAAAAATGGTTACTGTCTTTACACTGAATCCATTTTTATTTTGGGGCCTGCATGCCAAATAACTTGGTGACTGTACGTTATTTATTATTTACAAACATTTAGAAAAATATATTCTGTTTAATTGCAACACTGACTGCTTCGTACCAAAGTTACCAGGCTTAAAATTAATAAATCAATGTTGCAAGTAATATTTATGGAGGCAGAAAAATTTCATTAAATTCAATAGTTATTGCTTTTAAGTATTTGTTAGAGAATAATTAAAATATCTAAGGATTTATTTGACGACATAAAATCATGAATGGGAAATTATTCAACATTAAATTAAGTTCACATAAATAACAACAACAATAAAAAAACAAAAAGGGAATATTTTATACAGAGAAGGATAAATTAATATAAATGTTTAGTATGGTGTTATGTCACATAGATACACCATACTTTTACTTGCTGTTCTCACCGAGATTCAATTAAAATTATAAATAGGTACAAACAAACAGTATCTACCTATGTAAGAAATTATAGAGCTAAGTTTGCCAAAACTTAGTAATCAGGCGAACCTCTTAATGAATAATGGAAGGGATACAGAACTAGCGGTTTTAAATAATAGATTCAAGTTAACATCTAGATTCAAGGAGGTATACACCCAGTCATCAATAAATTCAACATTATTATAAAATATAGAAGTCTCTATTTTCAACAATTGACAACAATTTTGTCTATTTATTGTAAAATCTGGTGGTTCGTTATTTCATCTAAGTTCTTCTTTTTCAAAAGTCACAGAGACACCGCCAACGAGTGTTAACGTTATGCCTGTAGCTTTTTAGGAGACATTCAATCCGTTCACAAAATCCCGGATATCCCGCTTCACAAAAGTTAGCACTACATTTAGTGTAGTTTACATTAGGCCTACCAGGACTGTGCACTTCACTTCACTCCATCACTTGACTTAACATCCGTAGTAACTAAATAAATACTAGCTACCTATAACTGTATCTACAAGTCCACAAGGTCCAGAATGCAACGTTTACGTGACATCGAGCGGTCGTTGTTCGCGAGACCTAAAGAATCCCTTTTCTGTGCGGCACTCGCGTATCGTGACTGTTTGTAGGTTGACGGTGACGTCGGTGATAAAAATCTGATCGGCAACAGGGGACCGCGCCATCCAGTAGGCGGCGCCACGTCGGGGCGCCACGGGCGCTGGCGGCGGCGCCGGCACCGCGACAGGTGCGTCCCCCCACGAGTCTTCCTCCTCCTCGGGCTGCGGCTCGGCTGGTGGAGGTGGTTGGGCACCTTTGGGTTCCGCCGGGGCAGTGGCTGTCGGTTGGGTTTCCGTGCGTCTTTCGCGTTCCGGGGGAGTGTGGGCATCAGCTTCTTCTGGGGAATGTGGTGCTCGTCTGGGCCCTGTTCTAGGTGCAGCAGCTTCAGCAGCGGGTGAGGCGGGCGCTGCAGCTCCGCCAGGTGGCGCGGCGGGCGGGGGAGGCTGCACGGTGTGCGCGGTGTGCGCGGAGTGAGTGGTGTGCGTGCTGTGCGTGCTGTGGGAAGTGCGGCTGCCGTTCAGCTTCGTAGAGTCGTGCCGCTTGGCGGCCGGCGGACTCATGGTGATGGTAACGCCGATCTTGCCAGACTCGCGCGACAGCACCTCGGCCTTGCGCTTGCCGGGCGGCGGGTGGCACTCCTCGGAGCCGCTGCGCGCGCGCTCGGCGGGCGAGTGCTCGCGCTCGCGCCGCCTGCCCTGGCGGCGATGCTCCTCGCCGCGCTCGAAGCTCTGTATGAGCCGTGGGTCCAGGATATTCTCCTCCGGCTCCCAAGTGTTGTGCTTCGGTTTCCACCCTTTCCATTTCACGTAATACTCGACTTTGTTCTGAAAACAGAGAACATTTCCGTTATAAAGTTGTTTGCATTTTGCAGAGCGCAGTGAGTGGCGGTGTGTGCCCGCTCGCCGGCGTGGCGCGACTGCCGGTGGCGTGCGACCGAGGGAGGGTTGCACATAGCCTTGCAGATTTTATTCGATGATAATATTACGGCAAAAACGGATATTGAGGTGCAACATCGTTGGCTCGGGGCAAGAATTATTGAAGTTTGGTAAAATATTGTAGGCGAATATTTAGGTAAGTAGGTGAGACGTTGTTTTGACAGTGAAGCTGTACTGAAAGGGTTACGTTTAGAAGGAGGCGTGCGAAGTTGTGCGAGTATCGGTTGCAGTTCGCAGTACATTTGGGGCGCACCTGCCGCGCCGGCCAGCTGTCGCTAGCTGCGTGCCCGTTGCCCGCACATGCCCGGCCCTCACATACACAGGTACATCAGTACATGCTACATGCCACACACTTGCTAATACCCTCCACCAGTCATCCAAAATGTCTGCGGAATTTGTTGACAAGCGGTATTACATGCAAGGACACAGTCAGCTAGGCTGACAGTATTTATCTAAGTTTATAATGCGACAGTAACTATTAGGTACTACAATGTCTAACTGGAAGCAAAGTCTTGTGACTATAGGTATCTACCTAACCCCTTAGATCGTCCTGGATTTTACAAGACAAGATTTACATGTGAAATGAAATGGTGGTTAAATCAAAAGTTAATTTGTCAATAGGGTAGACGACTAATTTTTATTTTAATGTCCGTCTGGTAGATTATTTAAAAACATTAGACACGTATTTTTTATTTTCTTACGGAAACGAATAGTTTCGAAGATATATTGATTTGAAATGTCGCGTGACGTCACTCCTCAGTACATTTTATACTAAGAAATGACGTTTTAGCCCCCACTCCTAAACTTTGATTCGTTTTATCTAAGTATTGTTTTATTATACAACAAAATAAAAAAATACGTGTCTAATATTTTTTTATTACCTAAGTTACGGACTAATTATATTTTTAATTTTCATACCCTGTCATCATCCCCATTGTTATGTAGGTACCAGGGGCGTGCACAGAGATTTGAAGTAGGGTAGGCAGAAGGTATCACATGATTAAAAAAAATTTGGTCTACATTAATCTCGGAAAATAAAACTCCCGAAACATTATAATTTTGAGTAGGTAATTAGGTTTAGTAAGTATTTTATTAATTTGTATAAACAAATTAGGTATGTACATAATTATTTTCAAACTATCCGTGTATAAAGTTGATCAACATAGATATCTAGGTATCTATTTTACAAATATATTAACTAGGTACCTACTTTGGAGCGGCGAAGTATAAATGGTTACACATCAAGCTATGCGACACCAGTATAAACTGACCGTTAATTGTATAGAAAAATCGTACAAAGCGGGATCAAGATGACTGGATTTTAAAAACATTAATGAAATTGTGTACACAACCAGTGCTAACAAAACAAACTATACCTATAATCGCAAATCGTAGTTTATTAAAAGAAATAATAAAATTATTACCTTTTTTGAGTTACACCTAGCCCGGACATACGACACACGCAAAATCGCCTTTGGAAATATTTTCGTTTCTTCTTCGAGCGACAATAAGGACAACGCACTCATATTTATTGTAATGTAATTTATTGAACAACACAAATCACCAGCACAGAGCTCACAGCTATAATTTTACATAATTTTCGGTAAATTAACAGTTCATTTAAATTATAATTCATTACATTACAATTTAATCACTTGCACCTAAAAACATAACCAAAACAAAATGGCCAAAAAAAACGTAAACAATAAGTTGACCAAAATTAATAAATCTATTTTCAATCAACAAACGCTACATTTTGTTGACTTCTTAAATTAGCCGGATAACGAAGAAGCAGTGCTTTTGCAGTTGTATAGAAATTACCAACCTAACAAAAAAAAAATCCAACATCAGCACGAGAAAACAAGCAAATTGTACCGGCTACGCATTAGTACATGCTTCCGCCACCATCACACAATAGCGAGGTGGCGGCGCCACTGGCGCAATGCTTCAATATATCGAAGAAAGTAGAAAGTGGTTGTAGAACTTCAATATTTTTTCGATAGATGGCGTTAGTGACCAGTTTTTCAAATTAAGTATCAATAAAATTACGAAATCTCTGTATGATGTCAGTAAATATTCATGTCGTGTTTATGAGTGACACTATGTATTTGATTATGTAGGTTTACCATGATTTTGTAGGGTATGCAGTGCTTATTTGCATGTATGGTGTGCACGCCACTGGTAGGTACCTAGGTATTTCTGTATTTTATTTAGTAGGCACCTCGTTAGTGAATTGGGTGCACCTACCTAAGTACGACTGTTGATTAGAATTAGTATCTAATAACTTACCTAGTCGAAACTAAGTTTATCAAAACTCTCAATCAAAATCGAATGTGAGTTACGTCAAAAGTTTTGATAATCAACAAAAACATCTGTTGAGTCGTAACACGACGGCTAACAGTCCCCAATGTGAAACACCATATTTTATTACCAACCTTTCACCTTAGCCACTTAATTAGATTAAACATTAACAACTCAAAACATACCTAAGCCCTGTACAAATAGAGTCTTATATCCTTTGCGGCATTCGGCGTTTAGGGCGTTTCGACATTAAAGCGGGGATTTCAGACCCTCGCGTCTTATTGGTTTTGCAGACGGAGGGTGAGTGGAAATTGTACAACGCGCGCTGACTTTGCAGCGGCGTTCTGTTTGAATTTAAAAATGTTGAATATTTTACTTTAGTTTTATATTTTTTCTGAATGTTTCAGATTGTGAGTAGATAAATGTTTCTAGGTAGGTACAGAAGGTAAACCTTATAATTAATTTTCTAAAATACCGTAAGTAGACTGTAACAAATTAAAAAACATAAACATTTCAAGTACCATTTATGCGTACTACATCGTTTGTGCCACCTTTGAGAAAAATTAGGTAGCTATCAGAATTCATCTTAAACCAGGTAGACAAAAAACTTGACTAAACTTCGAATCCACAAAAAGAAAAACTAGCCTCTATTGAAAAAACCAACCTTTAACATTACAACAATTCAAAGTACAAAGACAAACAAAAGCCTCCATTGTATTCAATAATCATTATAAATAGGTAGGTAGGTAGCTCAGCAGTCAATTTAAACTTACAAACTACAAAGTCAGAAACCAAACAAAGACATAATCGTTAAAAAAATAAATAAAAAAGGATCCGTTGGGACGTGTGGGCAAGGTGAGGTCGTTCGGTTGGCGCGTGGTGATTGGCCGACGCGCGGGGCGGGCGGGGCGAAGGGAGAGGCACCTCACCCCCGCTTCGTCTCACTCCACCCCCGCGCGCCCGTGTCGACCTACAACTTTACCTATATCGGTAACATAGCCCTTATTCACTGCACCTAAGGTTAATTTTCGCGTGTCTAAAGGTAAATGGTAGATGGTAAATTTGATGGTTGTAATCGCGCCATGGGCGGATCGTGTCTCGGAAGCAGAGACGCCAATTAGCGTTGATCGGAAGCCGTGTGGCAATTAACGCGAATAATTAACGATAATCCCCTATCAACTGCGGTGATGTGTTGATAGGATCACCGATGTTGATAACCGGTGTTGATTGACTTAATACGTTTGGCTTCCTACTGATACTTTCAATATAGGTAGATAAGTATCTATTTGAATATCTACCTAATTTCTTCATTGTTGTTTAATTCCTCATTTTGAAGCACATACTTCGATATAAGCCTAATCCATTTAGAAACAATGGGTTCATTGGTAATCAAATCTACAGCAGATTTACCTAAACTGGCCTCCAGAATCGTTTTTTTTTTGACACTTGTCCACTATCTCGCCTGATGGTAAGCAATGTTGCGGTCTACGCTGGAGCACGTCGTCTCATAAGCAACCTACTCAGTTAGACCTTGAAGATACCCAGGTTATATCCTTGAGGAATTACAGATTCTGGCAAAGATTTCCACTCCTTAGCAGTAAGCACAAGAAAGCCTGATGAGAAACCGCTTCGTGTGTTTGGGTTCGGTTTTTCTAGAAAGGCTAGAAATACAGTAATTTTCTGGCTTTCCTAGTCTTCTACCCAAGTAACATTACAACACCTACCCATAGCGTAATGTACTTCAGCCAAAACGTTTTCATATCTATTGTCATTTTGAGCGACCAATCGGCATATTTTGGGATAGAAATCGTTAAATTTTAAGCAAACAAATGACAAGACTTTCGAATAAAACAAGAATCTTTGTAATCGATTCAGGCGTCTTCGAAAAATCGAGTACCTAATAGACATAAAAAAATACAGTCAAATTGAGAACCTCCTCCTGTTTTTGAAGTCGGTTGAAAATCGTCACATCATCGTCACAATTTGAAACCAATAATCGTCAATTTGGTAGTCAAAAATTCTAATTTTCTAAGCAAACTTTCATTTATTCAGATAACTCTCAAGCTTAACTGTTATTCAAACCACCATTACACAAATTGAAGAATCTAAACTAATAAGGAATACCAGAAAACCAGTTAATAAATAATTAACCCATACGATCATCATTTAACCTTAACAAGTCTTTATGAAACGTTTAAATGATTTATGCCCTTGTTGCAATCACTGTTGTATTTGAATATGCGGGCACATAATTTTGAGTTCACGTCTAATTTATGCAGTTAACTACTTTTTATTTATTACCTACTCACTGGCTTTCCAAACCATGACAAATAGTGTACCGAAACTTTCCTTAGGAATCCGACGATCAGAGTGCCAAGCACGAATAACTATCGCATTCGTAACGTAATAGTATCGAGCGCGTTCGGCGCTCTGATTGGCCGGCTCAAGAGAAACAACCAATCAGAACGACTCGATACTGTTACGATACGAATGCGATAGTTATTCGTGCTTGGCCCTCTGAGGCCTTAGTACGAGTTTATTTTACGTTCAAAGTAATCGTAACGAGTACGCGTTCGGCGCTATGATTG